TTAAGTGTGTGTGTGTCAGGGGTGGGGTGAAACTGTTATCCCAAAGAGCAGGAGAAGCAAATGGCAGTAAGTCACCTCCTCACAAGAACAGTTAGGCAAAGAGAGGTTCTTCATAGACAGACATAAAACAAAAAAGAACAGCAGCCCACTACAACCACACTCCCACTTCTAACTGTGTCCACTATTCAGTCCTATAAGGAGGGTGAGACAGAGAAACTCTGACTTTTTAAAAATGTTATTACACAAATATTAAAGCAAATAGTGAAAGTGAAAAGGTGTGTGGCCCTCCCGGGACCAAGCATGAAATACTTGTCAGTGACAAAAAAACACTATGTCACCCAAGACTGCAACCCCTTCCCCCATGCTCCTCAATCATAAGGTACTATTCTTGAATTGACAGATCTGTTGAAGATGTTATAGAAGTGATCCAGGAATTGCTATTTCATATACCAGTTCTTTTGATTCTGTTAGAATGGAGATCATCTACCCTCATCCCCCATTTCTGTCACAATAAGCTTTGCTTCCAGCTCAGCTGTGGACATTTCCATTATTTTTCCTTCATTTGCATGGGTACCTTACCATTATCCTAATTTACATTTTTATCATTATTGAAGACTAAGGTATTCATTTGATACTTCAGCCATACTTAGATGATCCTTAATCTCCCCATTTTCAAAGTCTATTGGCTCTGCTTCTGTTATCATGACCCTCTTTTTGTTTATACAAAGGAAGAACCTTTTGCTCTCTATTTTCATTTTTTTGGGAAAAATAATTCAAGTCAACTAAGCCTTTGTCCATTCTCACTTACTTTCAACACTTTTGGAACTCTTTTTCTACACCTTGTAGATTATCTCCTTATTCTTAATATCCTATTTAAGATGACTGTTATGCAAGTAGGATTGCATCAGGGGTTAGCAATGTTTTTTGGGCAGAGTGCCAAAAACACCTGGAACCTCAACTTCTTAGATGCTGGCATGTTAGGGGCAGATGGTGGGGGAGCTGCCAGGAGCCCAATCCATGTTGTGGCAGTGCAGCCCTTGCCCCTTCTGAGCTGTCCACTACCAGGTGAGTGTGCCAAGCAAACTGCCTTTGCATGCCCCACTACTGGCTCTTAGGCTGGGGGTCGTCAACTCTGATGTACATTATTTCCTTCCCTGCAAGTTTTATTTGCATTATTCTTATGGTCATATCTCCAAAGGTTCTCTTCATCATCTGAAGTTCTGCTCATCTTTGTCCAGCAGGTGTTTGTAGGTGAAGCTTCACCTCTCCTTGCTGCATTTCTTGCCCTTTGCCCTTCTCTGCATGAGCTCATCAAAAACCCACTTGAGGATGATATGCATCTTAGAGTTTCCACATCCTGTCATCCTCATTGTCCCTGCCATGTTTGAAAACTCTTCCATTTGATGATTGATGCCATAGTTGCCATCATTTCTTAATTTAAAAAAACAGCAATTAAATACTCAGCTCCCAACTCCCATTCAACCCCTCCCCACTTCAGCCCCATCACTGGTTGTTAGGCAAGTCTAAATCAGTACTGCTGCCTAATTAGGCTCAGTTGTGAACAAGTCCTCAAGCTCCTGAAGAGAAAAAAGCCTCTAATGTATTCAAAATATCTCCCCACAAACAGATATTATAAAACTATCAGTGGCTTCTCTTTGCTTAAGGTGTGCAGGACTGAGCCTAAATAGCTGTAATAAAAGCTAATACAGGTCAAGTCATCTTCAAAATGCAAAAGAAAGAATATATATTCTTCACACAATGTGGATAAATTGGGGCAGTACAAAAATGTTCCTGTCTAATGCAATTATTGTATAATTAGCACTGATATGGCAGTTGCACCCTAAGGTCTCAATTCACTGTGTTATACACTGTACAAGATATTATATGGAAATGTTAGTTGCAACTTCATACTTGAATTACACTTTACAAATAAGTAATAGAGCTGGAGTAACTGTGATGGTCCAGGATATGTGAGAAACAAGACTTTTTTTGGCAATATCTTCCCTCAGGTCTTCTCTTCCTTCTATTTAATTTTCAGGTTATAATTCTATTTGTTGAAAAGGATTGGTAGCACGACTGGAAATTAACCTGTATTAAACATTCTCATTGGTAAATTACTTGATCTGTCACTGATTTTTTTAAAGGTTTCATGGCTTTATGCTAGCTTGAACATCAGTGCTTACAAGGTTCCCCATAATATTATTTTCTTTCTTCCACTGTACACAAAGGAAGTGCTACTGAAGTAACAACATCACATATATGGGAGAGGCAAAGATGCTAGAATAAAGGATTGGTCCTCCCCCTGTCCTCTTTTCATAAATGGAGGGTCACAAGTAGGTCCAAGGACAGCATGGCAACGGTGTAACCAAAATTGGTACTGCTTCAGGGAATCCTATGCATGTATATCTACAGGATATATATAAATGAATAAATATAAAGGCCAGAAGGGTTAATAGGGATCATTATTTAGTCTGGCCTAAAATATAACACCATCCACTGAATTTCCCTCATTAATCTGTACCTAGCAAAGCTTCTCCATGAGCTAGAATACATCTTTAAGAAAGACATGTAATTTTAATTTTAAAGGTTATTGGGTGATGGCAAGTAAATTGCCCCAACGATAATTACTTTTACCATTAAAATTTCACTTGGTTTCTTGTCTTTGTCCAGCTTTAGGCCCTGGTCAATTATGCTTTTGTTTTCATTCTTTCAGAGTTCTCCATCAGAAATGTTCTATTCTTGTAGGTAGTTACATAGATAAAAAGTTTTCTCTTACCAGTCTCTCAGATAAACTAAATGTATTGAGCTTCTTTAGTATCTGAATGTAAGGCAAATTTTTAAAATACTGAATTATTCCTGTAGTTCTCTTCTGAACCTTTTCTAAATTTGTCAGTAGATTTTTAAAAAGTGTCGATAACAGAACTAGATATTGCGTTCCAATACCAGTATCTGTAACAGAGTAAATAGTCTCCTTTAAGGACAGTGGTAGGGTCTGGAGCCAGTTAACCATGTTCCCCTTTAAAAACAGATGTTCAGGTATATCAAGCAAACCAAACTAAGAATGGGGGCCAGTGCAAGTCAAGCAACTACATGTCCAGTACAGACCTATTCTGAGCGTAAAAACAGAAGCTTGGGCAACATCTACATGAGACAGTGACTCGGCAGTTATTATTGTGCAGGCACTGTATACATAAGTACTAAATGACTGCACAGTAACCAGAGTTACTGCGCAGTAGCATTGCCAAACGTTTTTTAGGTGACGCTGACTGCACATAAGATGTGCTCTAGGACTGCATCCTGCTACAGTCTCTTAAATACTGCATACAGTGTTTATATCTACCCTTCTTTCTTCTAGTCAATATTTCCTACATCCAATTATATGACCTAATACTAATAATCTTACTTTGTGAATTAAGGAGGTGTGATTATAATTCAGGAGAAATTTATGTGGTATTATAGAATCATAAGATCCAAGGGGACCTCAAGAGATTTCTAGTCTACCCCCTTTACAAATGCACATTTTGCTATTTGTAAGTCAGCCCAAAGTTTTAACTATCCAGGCTCTTCCTGAGCACCTCAAATAAGGTGCCTTTATAACTTCCCTAGGAAGTTCAACCCATTGTTCTACTAGTTCTTCTAGTTTAGAAAGCTTTTCCTGATATGTGACCTAAATCTACTTTCCTGTAGTTTGAACATACCATCATACATCCTACAAGAGAAAACAAAGTTTCTCTATTTCTTTTTATGGTAACCTTTCAAATATTTGAAAACACCTATCATGTCACCCCCTAAATGTCCTTATCTCCAAACTAAATACACCCAATTCTCACAACCCTTCCTCATATGGCTGGCTTTCCCAGAGATGCAACTATCAAGTTTGGTGCCCCAGGCAAAACGTTTTGGGTGGGGAAGTATCAGAAAGCAAAAGGAAGGGAAGGAGCATCTTACCTGCCCCAAGGACTCAGACCTGTTGAGTCCCTGCATTCAGCTCACATAGCCAAGCAACATAGGGTGGCTCCTGATGCGTCTCAATACCTGGTTCCTATGGCTGGGTGGTGCAGGGCTGATCCAGTTCAGCTCCTACAGCCTGGAGGTGCAAGACTGCTCCTGAGGCCCAATACTAAGGGAGGAGTGCATCATTCCAGCACCCTCTAAATCGGCACCCAGGACTGGTCCTTGTCTTGTTGCTACCTCATTATGCTACTAGTCTTCCCAATCTTTTTTTCATCTTTGATGCTCATCTCTGAAGCCTCTACAATTTCTCTATATCCTTCTTGAAATGTAATGCCCAAAATGGAGCACAGCAGAAACCTTACATAAAGCAAACTAATAAATAAAACATACTGCTAATTAAACAGCTTCTGTTTCTTTTTTACATCTTCCACAGATATTTTTTATAAGTGGAAAACATACTAGATATATTTATTACTTGTGATATGTACTAACACAAGTTTATGAATAAACAAAATATTCAGGAGTAAAAAATTTGCATACAAACCCTTGTATACACAAAACCGTGATCAACAGTATATGCTGTATTCAAAAAATTCTAATGATTTCATCTATAAGGATGTGTGCAATACAGCCTACACAAATGAAGCTACACAAAATGCAAGACTGAGCTTGCTAATTTATACACTGTTAAGTAATTACTATTGAAATCAAGGGGGTTGCAGTGTCATTTACAAATAAATCTGGCTGAGGACCTATCATAACAAAAGCTAGCTAGGTTTAAATCCTGATCTTTTCCCATTTTTACAACTTCTAGACCAGTGATTTTCAACCTTTTTAGACTCAAGGCGCCCCTCTGAAAATGCCAGCTCAATTTTCAATCTTTTTTTTGACTACACAAAAATACTAGAACAATTCTTCTGTTGCAAAGACCTCAAAAAGACTACAATAGGTCAGAATGTTTTTAACACTACAGACTACTATTTGAAAACTCAGTTTATCTTATGAATCATGTTTGCACACTTAAGTGTTAGGTGTGGCAACCCCCTCCCCCCACCAGCACATTGGTTAACCATCACTATTCTAGACAAATTCAATTACCATATTGCCTTATCAACATGCAGTTTCCCATTGTAGACCACAAGCTTTGACTTTACGGGTAGGGACAGACATTCAAAAAGCCTGAACTTGAATTGATTCAATCTTTGCAGATTAGCCTAACCTGGATAGGCTGAATCAATTTGTAACTGCACAGACATCCCAAAAATACAGCCACATGCCTGCAAAGGCTCAGGTTAGAAGCTGGGGGGTGCTAGGGCAGCCCTCCCTTCCCTTCCACAGTTTTGAGCTGACAGGGGACATGGCCAGGCCCCAGCAGGATGTTCTGATTAGGGAGGGGTTTCCCCCCTGCTCCTGACCAGCCTAGCAGGGAATTGATAACACAGTGTTTATCACCCCCCTAAGAAAACAACAAAGGGATATTACCAGCTACCTGTTGATTCTGCCTTTGTCCTGTCTGCCACAGCATGGACTGCAGCCAGCATGTGGTCTGCTAGCTAATGCTGAGAGGTGTCTGTGTAAGGCAGAAGGGACAGGGAGGGGAGGACTGAAGCAGGGGGAAGCCAGAAAGACGCCTGCAGTTTCTGCTGAGTTCCAGCCAGGGAGCAGAGGGGAAGGGCCAGCCCAGAGAGCATGCTGGGGGTGTCTGGTTTAACTTAAACCAGCAAAGGGTCTGGGACAGATATTGTATAAACTAGTTTGACCCAAATTAGTTAAGTCTGATGCTACATTCAACCAGGTGTATCTCAAACCGGTTTCAGCCATTTTCAAACTGGTTTATGTACACTGAACATCTGTTCTGTTACAGGTTTAAACCAGTTTCAGATCACTTAAACCAATTTATGTGTAATGTCTGACCCCAGCCCAGAAATATAACTCTGTACACTTGTATATATGAACATAGCCATTGTCTGTGCTTAACCTGTTTGTGGTTGGATATGTGTTGATCATGGAATACTTACAAAGTGCAAGAGGGCTTTTTTTTCAAACCTTAAACCAACTATTTATTTAAAGAAATGTAGAAGGGAGAGTGTTTCATTACACATTTTTAATAATCATGTGACAGTGAGTGCACACCTTTCCAAAGGAAAAACAGCCAGTTGGTGAGAGTGAAGGGCCCCTCCAGATGCACTACATCAGTCAGAAGTTAGCATAGGCACTAGCTCCACTCAATGTAGATCCTAAATCTTTGTTCAAATAATTAACCCTAAACTACATAGGCTGGCACAGTTACTAATTGAAACCTCATGTAGATTTTGACAGAAGAATACGTGAAGAAGACAGCAATGCTCCACACTTTAGGAAATAGCTAGAGCCCTATACTTCTTTCTCTTAGGCAGTTGAGCTTTGGTGTGATTAAGGAGCTACTTTGTTTAATCACTTGTCTCTTAACTACTTCAAACAAAACAGATCAAAGACACATGATCCAAGAGAAGACGACTTGTTGAAATGATCTTTAATGACTTTACGCAATGTTGCACGTTCCATATTCAGAAGTTCATGGACTAGTTCCAAACAGATTGGCAGGATGTAGCGGAAGAGATCTGTCTCCAGTATACTTTAACAAAATTACTGTTTATGATTTTCCAAGTTCCTGGAGGGACATCGTTCCTTAATAATAAATACCTAGTTCAGAACCATAAAGTTCTCAGAAGGCTCATGATCTAAATGTGTTGCAATTTGTACATTTATTTGCCTGCCTTGTAAGAGCTGAAAAACTGATTTTATTAACAGGATGTAACATAAAATTATTTATTTGTAGAATTCTGGCACAATACTTTGATATAAGAATAGAAAACTATTTATTCACCGAAAGCTAAATTCTGCAGTGTTTACTTGGGCAAAATTCAACTTTATTTCATTGTGAGTTTTACCTGTGTAAGATTTGTAGTCCACATTGACTTCAACAAAATGCAGAAGAGGGATACAACAAAAGAACTTTTAAGACACTTAGTCAAACAAATAAAACATTTATTTTGTTAAGTTAGCACTTAACAACATACAGTCACTTAAATTTCTCCTTTGAAATCTCACTTAGAATATGGAGTAAAGTACATTACTTGTTGTTATTCAAGATTGTGAGTCTTGGAGAAAGGTCTTTCATATATGTTTATGAAAGCACAGCATAATGTGGCCTTTATTATTGATCAGGTACATTTGCATTAAATTAGTGTTACCAAAAAACATTATTGAATATACAGTCCCAAGAGAACCAATGCCTGGAATCTGTGATGACATAAGAATCTTGTGTCTTTCACATTAAACAAGTTCCTAAACAAAAGTACTGTATTTACTTGAATAGAAAATGACCCAAATTACTTAACAAACCCCCAATAATTAGATTCTATATATGGAAAAGGTATACATTTGATATAATTTTCCAGGTATCATAACTAATTATTGGAGGTTTGTCTTGAATTTGTTTCCTTCCCACTGCTACAGCAGGGAAAATATATCTGGGGTGTTAGGTAATCCCTCTCACCTGCTCAGCCCTGCACCTTCTTCCCCCTTCAGCCACTTCCCCCTCTCCTTACTATTAAACCCTGCTCTCCTTAAGCATACAGAAGTGAAGAGCAAATTTGAAAAAAGTTCTTTGTAATAAATATAGTTGATAATTTGTATATAGTACTCATAAACTTCATTCTTCCAGAATTGATTAATTTTACATTTTTGAAACTGTTGCAAGTTTTTGCACAGGTAGTCCATAAAGACACTTTTAAGTAACCTTTTAGTACCAACTTATACACGAGGGCTGTTCAAAAAGTATCGGGACTGATTGTAGCAGGGCACTAAGGTGCCTGCTACTTGAAGAGTAGGAATGGCCACCCAGGTGCTGGTTGCCCGAGCAACCAGGAGGAGCTAGGGGCCCACACCTGTTGAGTCAGCTGACTGGAAGGGGCAGGCCTGGCTCCTATATAACTCCCAGACTGAGGCCAGGCGTGGGGAGGACCCTGCCTGCGACCAAAAGAGAAGGAGCTCTGCCCTGAGTGAAGAAAGGGAAAACCCTGAATGTGGGTGCAGTTGGCGATACAGGTGAGAGAGGGAGCATCTGTGGTGTGGCTCAGAGGTTGTTTTAGCCGTGAGGCCTGAATTTAAGTTATAACACAGAGGCTTGTGTTTTGTTGTGTTGTTATACTGGAGGACCAGGTGAGGCTATAAGGGGAAAGAGGAGGCCTCATAGGGGAACCACAACAGTGTGGGAGCCCCAGCCCCAAGAGTGGGCAGCCAGAAGGCCCAAGGGGCAGCGGGCAGCCAAAAGGCCCCAGACAGAGAGTGGGCAAGAGAGACAGACTAACATCTGGCCCATCAGTGAGGCTTGGGGCGTGGTACAGGAGTGGTTGGAGCCACGCATAGTCCATGAGGCGGGGGTGTACCTGAACACCCGTACCAAACACTCGTCTGGCATACTGCAGGAACCGTAGCCAACAGGACAAAGGGCAGCCTCCCTATGATTTAAACGATCAAAGACGTGGCGGGCGAGATTCTGAGGATGCTTGGAGCACACTTGGCACGGTACAGAGACGGGACCTAGGGGCAGCACGGTGACCCTAGGACTCCATCCTGCTACAGTGATGATGTAAGAAACAAAATATTTTATTTACATGGGTTTCGGCTTAATCTCCTTCAAAGTATGCTCCTTCTGCAGCAATACACTTCTCCCAACGTTTCTGCCATTGTTGGAAGCACCTCTGATAAGCAATTTGTGGAATCACTAAAAGCTGCTCAGTCACATTTTGTTTTATGGTTTCCACATCACAAAATCTTCTTCCTTTCAAGGTTTTCTTTAGTTGAGGATCACATGGGGCCATATCAGGTGAATATGGAGGCAGCGGCACTTGTGGGATATGGTGAGACTTACTTCTCTTCCCTCAACTAAAAAGCTGCAGTTTTACCTGACGGAGGATGGAGCCAAACTAATCATATGCAACAGGATGAGAGGAGGGCCAGCAGAGGGATTCTGGATGATCTGTTTGAGGCCCTGTTTGGTGATGTTTGCCAGTCACTTAAGGCTGTTGAAGAAACACAAATCACTGGAAATGGGAAAAAGGTGCAGTTCAACTGTCTGAGTGAACAGGAAGTTGAAATGTATGTGTGGCGGCGAGAAGTCCCCACAGCCACTAAGGGGGCTGGAGGCAGACCCGGGCATTCCCGGGGATGACAAGTGTGCCCCATATACCCTGGTAAACTTACTGGCGGGAGTGGGACTGGAGCCAGAGC